TAAATATAAGGTTAGTTTTTAGTATTTATAATTATCATCTATACAATGAGAGGTTAGTAAGCATAATTTTTAATTTTGCAACCAGCTATAACTTGCGATTACTAGATTATAAGCTAAGTGGAGCCTATAAATCTAAAGGTATTTGGACAGGAGGGTTGGCTTATTTTGAGAAAAATGTAATCTATTTTCTAAATTAATTAGATTTTAAAATAATAGTTTACTTAATATTAATCCTGAAATTATATAAATAAAAATGTACATTATTTAACATATTATTGATAATGTAAAATATAAATATTAATTATAATTCGTACTTTATAAATTACAATTCTTTATGGACAAAACATTACAAACCATTGTTGTAACTGCATATAAACATTTAAAGTTATATTACAATAGTTTTATTTGCAAAATTTTAGATAGAATTAATATTTTCATTATATTTCATATATATTTATAAGAATTTATATGATAGTATGATTAATAATACAGTATTATTAAAATTCAAAATTACATTACTTTTCTCAAAATTTCATATTAATTATGACAATATGTATTATTTAATCTTTTAAACAAACTCATACAACAGTTAACTTTAATGCTCGTGACCACGATCCTTTCTTGATGGCCTACCTTTAGGTTTTCTGTACAATAAAATATAAGCATGTTTAATTAATTAATAATAATTTAATATTCTAAATTAGTAAATTAGTGCTCAAGGTAAATATACTTAAAAGTTCTTAACAAACTAATCAAAATCGATGACTTGAAATTACTGACGGATATTCATGGTGAACTCCATTGCGCAATTTTCCCCCATACTTATCAACAGGGTGATAATGTGGATTACCGCGTACTGGATCCTTATGATGCATGACAACAGGATTTGGACCCAAACTATGGCGTTCAGCCGCCACTTTGGCATCCTTTTTACTCTTATGCTTAACGAAATGATTGGCGGGTTTACCACCAGGTCGTAAGGTTACCCCTAATCGTTTCGTCGCCGTTTGTTCTTGTTACTTTTGGGTGGATTTGATTTCGGTTGTGTCGGGGTTTCTGGCTGTTCAGGTTTGGGACTTACAGGTGCTTGCGTTGGTTTAGGTGACCCTGGGTCATCAGTTGGTGGGTTGAGTGGAGGTTCGCCTATATTTTCTAGCTTTTTAGATAAGGACTTCATTGCGGCCGTCAGTACAACCCCGAGACCGTCGGCCACTGCTTTGGCATTATCAGCGCCACGGCTGGATTGGCCCACGTATCCAATATCTATTGAAATTAAATATACCTTGATGAACGAGTTTACATGGTTATAAACTTACCAATTTGAGCATGCACCACAGATTGGCTAGCACATAATATCGCTAAAATCTTTAGCAATGTTAATTTACGCATAATTGTATTAAGTATATTAATATCGTAAAAAATATAATAAATTAATTTTATGTGCAGATAAATATTAATCTATTGTATAATAACATATACATAATAAATTAATTGCTAAAAACAAATTATATTTATACTATTAATAAAATAATAATTTTATTCATTCGGTACTATTGCTTTTTATAATCTACATTGGTGCAATTCGGTTAAAGTTTAATGTCGATGATTTTTATTTAACAATGAAGTTTATTGTTGTTTAAATTATATAGTCAAATATTATCAGTTTAGTAAATAAATGTAAATAATATTACAAAAAGCAAGGTTAGCATAAAGCTAATTGATAGAATATGCTATTCTAGTTAATTTTAATTAAATAACAAAAATAGTTCATAAAATCGTAATTTAAGTTTAAATCATTTCATTTAAATATGCAAAATAAATTGGTTCTGACACATATCAAATATATTTACATCGTTGTAGCATACTAAACAGTAATTATAGTGTAGTCTAGAAATAATCAATATCTATTATATATTAATATAAAATCGTCGCCAAAATAGTTGATAATGGTTAAATTAAAATTAATATACCGTATTCCCGCACAAGCACCGGCATGCCGTTATGAACGAGGCTGATCATTTTTACAAAAATAGCTTTATGATACCCTACCGGCATGCCGTTATAAAGTGAGGCAAATAAATCGAGTGCAAAAATTATTTTTATTCAAACAAAATGTCAAAGATAATTAATTTAGCATACTAAAATAACTAATTAATTGTTTAATCAGTTATATCTGTCACATCTTCGCCTCAATCTAACTTTGCCTTCAAATTTCTATTCAAAAATGTTTTAAATAGTTGTGTACTTTAGTATAAGACTATTTAACACAATGAATAGAAATAGAAGCATTTAAAATGAATAAACCTTTTACTTTCTAGTATTATGACCACCTGATTAGAAATTGATGATAATAAAATATGCATTTATAATTCAATGTATGAACTTTAATACAATTATATGTGAATATTAGTTTATTGAAATTTAAATGTAAAACATGTTTTACACCTCACTTATTACGGCATGCCGTTAAATCCCGGGGTATAACGGCAGTCTCATCAACCTCACTTTACACCGGCATGCCGGTGCTTGTGCGGGAATACGGTAAGTTAAATATGAGCTAGATCAAAATAAAATTTTTCGCAACTATTGTTTTCTGGCACCGATCTATGGGTATGCCCAATTTTATCCAGACACAAGGGGAAC